GAAAAAATATTCTAGCAAAATAATTTTGCACTATGGTAAGGAAATTTTGGATATGTAACACAATCCTTGATAATTTGTGTAAATGTCGAGGGGGGATAGGCCTTAAGCCCATGTGGAAAAGCATTACTTTCTTATCTCTATGGCATGTGTTGTAATGCTTGTTTGAAGCTGGACTCTTTTGAGTTCTTAATGGATCAATAAACCATTTTTGGTTGGTGCTATTTGAGACGCATTTGATTGATCCACCGTTTGAGGTTGAGTCCTTTGACTATTAATGAATCCAATTGTTTGAGTGGACGCACTAAAACTTTGGATCACCATTGTTTATGATTATTGTGAGGTTGAGCGTTAAGCTCTTAATGAATCCACGGTCTTGTGGGGGTTAATAGCTACAATGTAGCATTTGTTTAGTTCCTATGAACTTATCTTAACCCCATTGACTAAGTATTATCGAGTAGTGCTTGTGATTCACCTATGTGGTTGTGAAGACTAGCCATCTTCTATGGAAAACTTGAACGGATTTCCTAAAGCCTCCACTAGACCTAAGGTGAATATGCTTGGCTGTAAAAGAGCATATCTCTTCGCGGAGTTCATATAAATTTTGGAGTGATGTATGTGTTGTGAGGGTCATGCACTAAATCTTGGAGTTTCAAGGTTCGTCAACTCCATGATCAAGAGTCTTAAAGGTTTCAAGGTTTTTCTACCCTTAGACTTGTAGGTCATTGCTTCATACCACTAAGCACTAGATTTCAAATTACTTTTGTAATATCTAGTGTTATGTACTACCTCTCCTCTTATGCCCCTATGTTGCTTCTTATTCTTTTGGCTTTGTTTTCCTCCCTTTAGTGGGGGATTGTTGGATTAAAGAGAGAAAAACCACGCTTTTTGATTGTTGATCAGTTCACTCCACAAGCCCACAACCTCCTTGTGGAGTGAACTGATCAACAATCAAAAAGCGTGGTTTTTCTCTCTTTAATCCAACACTAAGAATTAAGTTTACCTAAAATGCAAATAGGACTAATGTAATGGCCACAAGCCCACAAAAGTTATTCATATGAACAAATGACTGAAATGACAAATCGTATCATACTGTCAATAAGTTCACAAGGAACTTATTAGAAAACGAAAAAAATAAGTAAAACAATTATCCTCCGTTAAACGAAAAAATTAAGTAAAACAATTATCCTCCATTTTTCTAGTCAAATAGCCTAACTTTATTTATCACTTCCCGATGGATTTCAATTGTGAAAACTGAATCATGAACCTTGATAGAATATATGTTACCTTAGGATATATGTGGTATATTTTATTCGAACCTGTCATCCGAATAAATACTAAAAGAAGTAATAATGTGAATTGAAATTAAAATTAAACAAAAGTATTAGGATTAATTCATACTTATACATATTTAACAACTTGCCTACAACTTTGAGCAAAGAATTGGTAAAAAGCCTAGGCCGATATTTTGATAATTTTTAGAAGTTTATCAACATTTAAAGCTATTGGATGCAATATAACTTTGTTTTACGAAATTACTTGCGTTAAAGAAATGATGATAATAGCAATGAAAGAGATAATATATATATATATATATATATATATATATATATATATATATATATATATATATATATATATATATATATATATATATATATACCAATAACTCATGAACAAAAGTACTAGGGAGACATGAACATAATCGGTACTTACAGAACTATGTTGACAATATGTGAATTTCTTAGTGGCCTCCTCAAATCAATTGTTTTATTAATCTGCTCAATTGGATAGAGTTTGGTGCTGATAACGTGTTATAAAATAAGGTGAAAATATAAGAGATAGAGAGAATTAATCTGTGTGTTCTACTTGTCCCTCATATAGTGGAGGTATAGATATATATAGATACAATACAATTGATAGGATTTGCTGGAAGAATAATAAACCCTAAAATCTAGAAAGTTCTAGAATGATACAAGAATATAATGGGCATCCACAAATATATATTTCATAACACAAGATTGAATTTTCGTTTAATTTTATAATTTCTTTTGATATATTGCATTATTAGTAGGTGTAGGGAATAATTTCAAGCCTTTAAAATCCCACTAGCTTGAACCCCACTGTGATCATACACTACAGTACTGTGGCGTCCAAAAGGGAAGAAAATAGAGCAAAAGAGTCGCCAACAAGTTTTTAAGGAACTTGTAAACCGTTCGCAGGATGAAGGTTACACCCCTTAACAGTCCAAGAGATCGTCAACTCCATAAGGTCTAGAACCAAATAAGGGTTCAGGGATGAAGGTACAAATCCAACCTAAAAGAGATTGAACCTGCCCTAATAATAGGCCTCTACTTTATTCAGATCGTATTCATGTGCGCTTTCTGATTAACATGCAATCAATAGGATTAACCCTAAACCTGTTTAATCTATGTTGGTTAAATTTAATGCACAAATAAACTATTATTAGCGATCACTTGAAATTATAATCACAATTAACCCTAACAAGATTATTAATATCTTATTAAGCATGATTACAAGTACCAAATTCCCTTTAAACATGCAATAAAAAGTGTGATCAAGCAATAACAATAAATATCATCAAGCAACATAGTAATAATCAATATCATGAATAATAATTATAATAATCATAATAATAATAATATCATCATAAATAAAATAATCATCATCAAAATAATAATAATAATAATAATAATAATAATAATATTCATGATCATCATAAATCATAACAATTATGATCATAATCATGTTCATGTTAACATTTAAGCATAACAATAGCAAGATCCTAGGCATGATACTAACAAGATTAATAACAAACCCTAGCATGTCACTAAGCAATAAAAATCAAATCTTTAACCCTAACATGATACTAACAATCATAAATATTAGGAAGAACATAGGAAGCATCATAGGAATCATATTTAATATTAAAATTACCCTAGACATGATACTAGGAATATCATAACAACAATGTGAACATGATTTCTACATCATAATATCAATTAAAACCAATTAAAGCACTTACTTTGATGCTTCGTACCTCTTTCTAATAACAAAATACACACGTTAGTAACTTCAAGGAAAATAATAAACAAACAATCAAATTAAATAATTGAAATAGAGATTTGGGACCAAACCCTCAGAAATTAAAACCTTTCACGTCTAGGGCGAAGGCAACTTCGAATATGGCTAGGTATTTCTAGACCTTGCGAATGCGGAATTTTGTATGAGAAAACCAAGTTTAGAGAAGAAAGATGAATGAGAGAGATGAATGATTAAGAGAAAATTAAAAGAATTGGTGTAAATCGGTGAATGATAGATGTAGATGATGAATGAAAACGGAGTTTTTAATACGATATTTATAGAGAAAATCATCCAAAAAAGATAAATTAACAAAACAGAGTATGACGCTCAGGAAACAGAGCTGGCGCCAACCCTGGCTAGCTGGCGCCAAGCGCCAGGCCTGGTTCCAGGCGCCAAGGCCTGGGGTTGGACGCCAAGCTTGATTTTAACGCGTTTTCGAAAATCCGATAAGTTAAGCGTACTGGAGGATAAAATAATATAATTTCTTCGAAAATGCTATTTGATTTTGATTAAAACTCTGAAAAGTCAACAAAATCAACTTATCAATGCTAATTGAATTAGGAATGAAAAGAACCTTCTAGAAGAATCTAGAAGGCTAAAACCATCCCTAATTGCATTAGGAATGATAAATCGGCCCTCCCCTAGATCATTGGGCCGCATATAAAGCTCAAACTGGGCCCAGTTTAGTAAATTGGCCATAACTTCCTCAATATTCATCGGAATTGGGCTTATAATATATCGTTGGAAAGGTCTTTGCAAGCTTCATCCAACTACACTACTATTGGACCCATATCATGGACCAACCAAACCGGATTGGTTGTTTTCTTAAAATAAAGTTTTCAAAAACAGAGAGAAGAGAAAAGAAATAAAAAACTTTCCGCAGCACTAGACCTTTCCACACTTTCGTTTCATTCGACTATGATTCGACGTGAAAGGTACTCAACACTGGGTTTGGTTTTGGGGAGACACAAATGGGGGTCTACAGTAGAAAACTATCATATACTTTGAACACTATTATATTTGTAACACGGTAACGCCCGTGATTAAATCTAGTCCTCTTTTAATTAGATTTTTTTTTTTGGTGTTTAGAGAGCCACAGGGGCGAGGTGAGAATCGATCCCAAGATCTCCTGAAACCGGGAGGAAAGCTCTAACCACTTGAGCTATCCCTCACTCTCCCTATTTTAATTAGATAGTTAAGTTTGTTCAACGAGGGTCCAAACAAAGTTAACCATATTTAAAAGTGAAATTAAAAGGAGTGTTAAAATCACCACTCGAAAAGTCAAAATTATACCTTGTTCTTCGTATTTAAACAAAATAACACCAACTGACATCGGGTAGCTCTTAATTCTCGACTAGCTTTTTGCCCTGCGTTGCATGGTTGACTTTTTTTTAAAAAAAAAAAAAAAAAAAAACAATGTGTGTTTCTTGGTTTTTTTTTTTTTTTGTTATTTTTTGTTTTTTTTTTTTTTTGGTGATGATGTTTGTTAGATAATGTGAAACTCCTTAGATTGAAGTGTATTCCATTAATACATATATATAAAGGGTTTAGGAATCTCAAAAGATAATTACAAATATTCACAAAATATATCTCCTACTATAACAAAATATCTAGAATATCTATCGTATATTTTATCACACCCCCGTAGTCGTAGTGAGAGGAGGTCGTACGCTGAGACTGGATCTGAACTCTAAAAATATTTGTCGAGGTAGGCCTTTTGTGAAGATGTCAACAAACTGATAACGAGAAGGAACATGTAGGACTCGTACTTGCCCCAACGCCACCTTTTCTCGAACGAAATGAATGTCCATTTCGACGTGCTTGGTGCGTTGGTGCTGTACGGGATTATGAGATAAATATATTTCACTAACATTATCACAATATACAATAGTAGCCTGTCAGAGAGGACAGTGTAACTCCAAAATAAGATTACGAAGCCAACAAGCCTCGGCAACAACATTTGCGACTCCCCTATATTCTGCCTCTGCACTTGATTTAGAAAGAGTAGGTTGACGCTTCGAAGACCAGGAAATAAGATTGTCCCCTAGAAAACAACAATAACCAGAGGTCAAACGACGAGTGTCTGGGCACCCGCCCAAATTAGCATCAGTATAAGTAATTAAGTTAGTAGGAGATAAAGGATATAAGTGTAACCCGTGATCAATGGTACCCTGAATGTATCGCAGGATGCATTTCAATGCATCATAATGAGCCTGCCTAGGATCATGCATGAATAGACAAACCTGCTGAACTGCATAGGTTATGTCAGGGCGAGTAAAGGTGAGGTACTGTAAAGCACTTGCAAGACTGCGATAGAGTGTTGGGTCATGAAATTGCGATCCAGAATCTGCATTAATTTTGGATTGAGTATCCACTGGAGTTACCGCAGATTTACAACTGCCTATACCTGCATGCTCTATAATATCCTGTGCATATTTTTGCTGAGATAGAAACAAGTATGAAGGAGTACGAGTAACAACAATTCCCAGAAAAAAATTCAAAGGACCCAAGTCAGTCATCGGAAACCCTTTCCTTAAGTGAGAAATAATACTCTCATGAAGCTGATCAGAAGATGTAACCAATACAATATCGTCAACATATAGTAGCAAATATGCCATATCATTCCAATGACGGAAAATGAATAAAGAATTGTCACTCTTAGCAATGACAAATCCCATCTGCAAAATATAGTTAGCAAATCGCTGGTACCAAGCTCGTGGAGCTTGTTTAAAGCCATAAAAGCCTTGCAAAGTCTGCAAACATAACCTGGAAATCTCTTGTCAACAAACCCGGGAGGTTGATTCATATAAACTGTAATACCCCGTATTTTTATGTATTTTTATAAAGTATTTAAGTATTAATAAAATGTATTGTCAAGGGCTCAAGTATTTTAATTAAATATTTTAAAGGGTCAAAGTATTTTAAATATAAAGTTTTATAAAAGTAAAATATATTTTGGGCCAAACGTTTATTAATTATTGGGCAATGTAAATTATTCCTACATACTCTTATTGGAATAACCCATTCCAAAACCCATAACTTAATCCCTATTCCATTCTCGAGCCCACATTTTTATAAGCCCAAATTTAACCCTACACTTTCTACTCTATAAATACCCCATGAATCCCCAAAAATTTCCCACACAAAAAGGTTAGTCTTATTTTCTTTCTCCTTTGTTTTATTAATTTGTGTAATTATAATTTTTGATTTATGGGTTTGATTTTATTGTTTGAAATTAATTTAATTAGTATCAAATTGTATTTTGATGATTAAACTTTATAATTTTCAGATTTTGTAAATTTTATAACCTAGGGTTTTTAATTATTGAAAATCATGATTTTAGGGTTTTTATGAATAATTGATTTAGGGCTTTTATAGTAATGATGTTTTTAAATTTTGGTGATTATAACTACTTATTAGTTTAACTTAATTCCAGATTATTTTGAACACGTAAATTCATGTTTTAATTATTAGATTTATGTTCGTTAATATTAATCCCGTTTTAATCCCGATCAGATTCTAAACTCCTCCGATTTTGATAAAAAAAAAAGTAGTGTTTTTCCAGTGGAAACAACGTTTTAAGAAAGACTGGTAGTGAGTCTCACCCTCTCGTGGCCAAATTCAACCTCTAAATACAATTTTCGAGCAGTTTTTGATTTTCAACGAAGATTTTTTTATGCTTTAAATTTTATCTTTGAGTTTAAAAGGGGTAAGAGATAATTTAATGTTTCTATGGATAATTTAAGTATAAAGATGTATTTTGATGAAGTTTTAAAGGATTTTTGATTAGTTTAAAATGTTGAAATTTTATTTAAAGTAGTATAATTGTGATTTTTAATAAAAGGGTGTGATTATCCATTAAAAAGAGTTTAATTAGGGGTTTTTAAATAATTTTCAGATTATTATAAGTTATTTAAAGTGAGTTTAAGTTGCTGGAAATTGTGTATACAAGGGTAATTAATATAGTATTATTGTCCCTTTATGTAGGAGACTTGGTTCGAGAATTGTTGTAGAGTACTCGGTTATTTTAGGAGCTTATTTGAGGTACGTTTGCGTACCTAGCATATTTTGATGATGTAGAATCATGCTAGGCTTGATTTCAATCAATTACAAGTAGTATCATGCTAAGGTTTATGTATGGAATTGTGAATTAATGGTGTTGGTGATTGAATGGCGAAGCATGAATTATTTGTGATGGTTTATGGATTGGAAAATTATATTTTTGGCATGTTGTGTTGAACCACATTTTTATTTATCGCCTGTTAGATGGCATGATTAATTAAACTACATGTTTAATTATGTTTGGAATATTGAAAAGGAATTTTATTATGGTTCAAATAATTTTTATTGATGCTTTAAGCATGAGGAAGGAGCTATATAAGTGTCTATGTACACAAGGAATAAATTGTATGTTGGTGCCTTTGTGCACTTAAGGTGTTTTTAACACCGAGGGATAGGATTTTTGGCGCATTATGCGTTTAAGGTGTCTTTGACACTGAGGTAGAATTAAAAAGGGTTCAACATTAAATAATATGTGGTCACTAAGTGTTCAAGAATTAATTTGGTATGTTTGGTTGATTGAATAATTATTGTTGATTGTTTTCTGATTCTTTGAGAGTCATCACCAAGTCCAATAAAAGGTGAATAACGTAAAGTGAAAGAGATTACGCACCAAAACTCTTGGAACGTATATACCTTGAGTATGAACAATGGGGGGAGTTATGGGGTTTTATATTTAACCATAACTTCCAATGGAGTACAGGACATTGTACATTCCTTTTTATTTATTAGTATGCGCAGGAATTCCGCCACCTTTGAGTGGTTTTGTCGCTGACACGATTAGCTCCCGTGTCAGTTAACCTCAATTTATTTGGGGGAGGGATAGTTGGAAACCCGTTCGATGCGTAATCAACGCTAAATAAATTATTTAGTGTCTAGTTAAAGAGTCTTGTTGAATGTGGTGTGTGCTTGTTCACAGGTGCATTGAGGTAAGGGTGTGTTGATAGGTGAAAGCATGTTGGTGTGTTTATTTACGCTTATGTACTCAGCTTTGTTGATTGTGTGTGTTTGTGTGTTTGGCCATGTCTTTACTTTGGCCCTACGACAACCCATTTTCTAATGGCGAGTAGTGGGGACAAGTAGAGAGGAGGTTTTCAGGTGATGAAGCATATTCATGAATGGGCATGAGTGAAGAGCGAATCATGCTAGTTCCTATAAGTATATGATGTGTTTAATGCTTTAATTATTTATGATATTATTATCATGCATGACTAAGGCAAAAGTTTTAAAGTTGGTTTGGTTTTAATAAGGGCCTACAATGGTTCTAAGTTGTAGGATGATTTTATTTTACTTTCGTTGGTTGACTTTCAAGTTGACTTGTTTTGAATGGTTTTGAAATTAGTCTTCCGCTGTGTGTCTTTGATGGTTGCCTTATCCGTTTTCACGGTGGCGGTAATATCTTAGATATTCCTATTTAAATTTTTAAACAGGGCAAAATAGGTATTTTAAAATAAAGGAATTTCTAGGGTGTTACATAAACACACTATTCAAATCACCATGCAAAAAGCATTTTCCATATCAAGTTGGTGAATAGACCACTTACGAGCCATAGCTAAACTCAACACCGGTCGAATAGTGGCCGGTTTTACAACCAGGCTAAACGTTTCATCACAGTCGACACCTTCAACCTGAGACCTGCCATCACAAACTAGACGAGCTTTGTGTCTTTCAAGATCACCATTAGCATTCAATTTGTGTTGAAATAACCACATACAACTGACAATATTCACCACCGTTGGCCTAGGAACCAACTCCTATGTCCCCGTTTCAATTAAAGCACTATATTCATCACGCATCGCTGCATTCCAATTATGGTCAGAAAGAGCTTGTTTGTGATTTTTGGGTAAGGGAGAATGATCCATAGTGGTGCTAGAAGTGGAGATGGTTAGGCCATATTTAGGATTTGGTTTGAAAATCCCATGTTTGGATCGTGTTTGCATTTGTGGGGAAGTCGGAGGTGGTATAGTGGGTGAAATAGGCGTGAGGCCTCTAAGGGGAGGTGGGGTGTAAGTGTTTGGGCTAGGTGAATGGATAAGGGAGTGGATAATTGGTGAAGTGGGCTGAGCAAAGGTCAGTTAGGCCTGGTGGGTGCCAGGAAGCGCTGGGTCCACGATGGGTAAGGGAGGCCCAGCTTTTGGTCCAGGCGATGGATTTCCATCGGACGCTGGGCCTTGCTGCAGCGTGTGTGGGCTCGGGTTGGGTGTGAGAGGAGAGTCTGGGCCTCGATATTGCTGAGGTGTGGGCTGCCCATGTTGGGTTGTGGGTGTTTGCAAATAAATCTGACGTTAAAACAAAGGGTATAGATCAATATTATCCAAAAATCATAATCAGTGCTACGAAAATTAGAAATATTTCGATATGGCAATGTATTTTCATCAAAAGTGACATGTCTTGAGATTATGATTTTATTGGTAGAAATGTCTAAGCAATTATATCCCCTATGTTCGGAAGGATAATCAGTGCTAACTTGTGTTTAGATGTAGCCGAAAGATTAGGAAAGCATAAACACCCTAAAACCCGAAGGTGACTATATGACGGGATAACACCAAAAAGAGCTTGAGACGGAGTAAGATGATTGATAACTTTGGTAGGTAAGATATTCACTAAATATGTAGCCGTTTCAAAGGCATGATTCCAAAAGGAAGGTGGGAGAGAAGCATGAAATAAAAGAGTACGTTTAATATTATTAATTGTACGAATTATGTGTTCGACTTTTGACAGGGTAAAGTCGTATCCCCAAATCAAAAGTAATTCCTAAATCCTCTAACTAATGTAGATAAGGAAGTAGAGTCGATCTCCACAAGGAAACAAGTCTTTTTACTCCTAATTAATTATTATAATCTAAATTATCTAAGTAACCAATATTTATCTTCGAATAAGAAACTAAACTACTAAGATTGAGGATAGAGAGAAAACAATATATGAAAGGATATAGGGCATAGGTTCACCAGTAAATAATACTCCAGGGTAAAACATAGTAATCAATCATTGACATTGCATAAATAACATGATTAACAGGCTCTCGCAATTTATTAATCAACATAGATCTAACAGGCTCTCGCAACTTACTAGATCTAAGTTCTTAATGAAAATAGCCTTTAATATCAAATTAACATCTTCTCGATTCATCAATTTAATATTGCTATACTTTTACAAGCCGCAATTGTAAAACGTTAAAACAATTCAATAAGAAATTATCATGCAATACCAATAATCAATAATAGTCAATCATCAATGCATCAATTAACCAGATTGTAAAGGGCTTTTGCTACGTTTTACAATCACAGAATTACTCTACCGATATTAAATCTCATCTCTCGAATCTCGACTTAACCATTTATAAATTAACCTTCCTATTGAAACTAGACCTAAACATTAATTCTCATCTGTCGAATCTCGAATCAGTGTTGTCAAACTCATGCATAAAAGATCAGGCCTAATCTAGTCACAGAGCATTAAATCAATCAATAGGAAATTAATCTAGCAATGATAATTAACAACAATAAATTACCTCTTCATATTATTTATGGATCCCCATAAGCCCTAGAATTAAACTACTCAGACATAATTAAATCTAAACTAATCAAAGTAATAAAACAAGTCATGATGGAAGGAGTAA